TATCCAACAAAAGCTGATGAGGTGGGGAAGGAAAGCTCTTACCAGAATGGAACACAGAACGCCAATAGCAAAGCAAGCTATAAAGCCTTTCAGTCTCGTACTCCAGCTTAAGGAAGATGCATCAATCACCTGGAAATATATTTTTTAAAAAGAGAGTCTTATTAAAATTGTAGTGTCAAGGTTTTAAAAAGGCAATATACAGCCAGTTACTTTCATTTCCTTCCAGCAGCTTCACTACACGAGGAAACTTCACAAACATGCTTCTAACATCTTTGTGAAAAGTGCCTCGTCCTATCTGTTCTATGAACAGATATCACTTCCTCAATGTTAATATAAGGCAATATTCAATTTTCTTCTTCTTCGACAACAGCTTCTATTAATCATCACTCAAGGCAACTTTGAGCGTATTCCTTTCACATGTTCACAGAAAGCAGATACATTTCCCTGGCCAAAAGCATTATTTCTATTCTAATATTAAAAACAAAGAGTGTATTGATTCCATTTCAACTGTTTTGCATAGTCAATGTTTCGTGCCAAGTTTATCCAAAGAGGATTCCGTTTAAAAAAATACTAGAAAAGAATCCAACTTTTATAACAAATGTATTCATATAGTTGTATTATGTCTGATTCTACTCTACTAATTCCTTCTTATGACATAATATAGTTTTGAAAATACTATTAAGTTTCTATCAGCTATCGGAGTATAAATATTTTGTAAGCAAGGGCATTCCTGTAATAAAACCAGATTTGGATCATTTTAGTCATTGTTATAAAATCCAAGAATAGCAAAACAATTTAGTTTTTTTAATCTATATAACATCAGTCAATTAATATGCAGTTGTCTGAAATCCAAGCAGCTAAAACATGGAAACAAAAAAAAGTAGAATGGAACTGATCCTATGTTTCCAAAATATTTTGTTGTATTTGAATTTATTCATATATTTTGCAACAAATTATTTTGTTCAAAATTCTTGTATTTTGATAATAAATTGATGGAAAAAGCAAACTAAATTTAAACAAAGATCATCCTGGGACATAAATCAAGATTATCATACCCAACATGTCTAGAGCATTTTCAAGTGTTCAAAGAGCTTCAATTATCTAGTTGCAATCCTTACAAAAACCCTGTAAGTTACATGAGTATTATTATCCATCAGATTGCAAACGGAAATGAGGGCTGAGGCTGAGCAACTGGCTTGCCTAAGGCCACTTGGTGAGTTCATGGCAGAGCAGAGATGAAAACCCAGGACTACCTGATATGGAGCAAAGTCTCTTAGCAGCCAGACTACATCAATGTTAACTTAGATACTTCCAGATGCAAACTTCAAGGTTGCTGGTTTCCCTCAGGGATGTTGTGTTTTCCCAGCCCAAATGTGTTTATTAACAATGGCATTCAGAATCCCCTTTCAGAGGTGAATTCCTTGCTGCTGAAACTACAGCACAGCACTGTGGTTGTGCAAGTGTCATAGGTATATCACTAGTGATAATGACAACTCTCTCCACAAACAAACATGATAAGCCTCATATTGTGAACTTTGTATTACTGATCTCCTGAAGCACTTATGCAATGCCCTTTAAAAATAAAATGAAATGCAGTACAACTATCCCACCTTTCTAACCATTTACATTACTTTTAAAGTCACTTTGAATTTTAAAAGATTCCCTTACTCTTGATATGCTCTAACACCGGCCAAAAAAAAAAAATGGTAATTAAGTATTCATCAAGCTGTTTACCAAACAAACAGAGCACACAAGGAGCAGGCCTATCTCCCTACAGCAAGATTAGTCCTGTTAAACTGGGAATAGAATATCATGCTACATCTGCCAAGCTAGAGTAAACAGCACAAGAAGCGGCAAGGATAAGAACCACAGAGGATCCAATAATTTTTCACCACTCATCCCACCATTCTAAAAGCCCCCCGCCCAATTAAACCTACATTTATTGTGTTGAATTACTCTGGGGAACCAGCTGATGCCAAGGGTTGCATTCAGAGCTGACTTTGTACTAGCAGAATGCACTTCCATTTATGCAAGAAACGGCACCTTTGTTGGAAGAAAATGCTATCCATAGTATTTTCTTTCTAGCCCCCTATCAGTTACACAGCAAAACCAAAACAGGTTTTTCTTATGGACTTCACCAATCAGTATTGATTTAATCTGCATTAATTGGTCAACTAAAGCTTGCAGGCTAAGTTTTAGAACATATCAAACAGTCACAAAGATACACGTTGAGACAGTGATGTTTCGCTTTCCATCTCCTTATGTTTTGCAAGTTCTACCCTGGGTGCCGTTAGTATGTAAACAATTATGACACAGCTTCCCTTTGGCCTTCGTCCCTTGAGCACAAAAGCATACAGTACAAGAAGTGCCCTTCCGTAGCCTAGGATCATGTTCTCACAGTGGCCAACCAGCTGTGCAATATTAACACACTAGCACTCTTCAGCTCCTGCTCTCTAGCAACTGGTATTCAAAGGCATGCTGGGTGTGATACTAGAGTAAATATATAGCTGTCATGATAAACAGCCATTCAGTCTGTCCTGTATTTTTCACTCTTCCTTCATTATATCAAAAGAAATGCATTTAAGCTTTTTGTAATACGCCAAGTGATCTGTTGAAAGACAAACCGGCGAAACCAATTTACGACTCTTTGGTCGGATGCATAAACCCCAAATTAATTTCTCTAGAACCGCCCTAACCTGGGTGAACTCTGTGCACCTATTCAGCACCTGCTGAATTACAAGCAAGGTGTGGGTTCGAGTCCAGTTCAGCAACAGTTAAGTACCAAAAGGGGAGGCAGCATTTTTTTTTCCTTGGTGGGGCGAAGAGAGCTTTGAGCAGTACTGAGCGTGTACACTGTGCACAGGATGAGAGCTTGGATCCTGGGGTTTTTTTCCTGGAGCTTGTGACGTCAGATCCCAAACACCTGGGCGGGCAGGAAGGCAGCAATTAAACGAGAAGCATCAACACGCACCTTTGGGGAGAGGGGGGAGAGAGCTGGGCGTTAGGAAGGGTCTCTCACGGCGCAGTTGAAAGCTCAGAAAGCCCCCCTGGGACGGGGGAAGGTTATAGGCGACCTTCCTTCATGGGGGGGGGGAGAAATAGCAGGTAGTTGAGGAAAGGTGCGGGGAGGAGAGGAATGGAAGGGGCCCAAAAAGGCCAAGCAACAACGACGGCCTCAGCTGCTCCCCTGAAATTGGTGAGGGGGGCTAAGCGGCTTAGGGGTGCGGAGGAGGAACTGGGGCAGGAATTGCTGAGGCGGACCGGGCGACAAAGCCAAGGAAAGAGCCCCCTTCACCCCACACTCCCCCCCCCGGTGTTTACCTCCGCCAGTGGCCCCGGCTCCTCGGCGTCCTTCCCGTTGAGAACCCGCTTCAGCTTGTCCATGACACTTGTCGCCCCTCGCGAGCTCCACTTCCCGACGCGGCTGCCTCCACTTCGCCGCCCAAGCTCTTCGGAGACTACAACTCCCAGCAATCGAGGAAGGCCGAGGCTCGCCTAGCTTTCCCTCAGCGCCTGGAGCAGTGCATCCTGGGATATGTAGTCGGGGGGGTGCTTCCTCGCACCTGCGCGCTGCAGAGCTCTTTCGACTACGCCTCCGATCTTCTTTGTGGCATCCGAGTTTATGTCCAGTAGTAGGCGGGTTGCGCCGGTGTTTTTTCCCCAGAGCTTTCCCCCGCCCCCCTTTCCTCCTTCTCTATGCTGATGGCTGTTATTTGCTAAATTTGTATACCGCCCCTCACGCGAAGATCTCAGGGCGGTTCACAACATGAAATACATGAAACAAAAACCAGTGACCTCCCTTTCCACAAAGGCATTTAAAAGGCCTTAGAATGTTAATCAGCCAAAGATATGTCGAAATGCTTTTGACTGGGCATAAAGATATGTAATGAAGGCACCTTCCTGAGGATAGCATCCCATAAAACGAGAGCCACAGCAGAAAAGGCCAGTTCTTGTGTTGCCACCCTCCAGACCTCTCCTGGTTTGAAGATGTTGTGTCTTCATAAATAACTGGCAGGGCACATTGATTAGTACGTATTCCTGTTTTGCATACTGACTAGGAAATAGCAGCTTAAGCTGGGCTAAGCAGGCTGAGGGGGAGATGGAACCCAGATTCACAACTCATGGTGATCAGGTGCAGTCCTAGCATTGCTTTTTTAAAAATGAAATTTAAATCTATGGGATAGAAGATCTTTTTCGGAGTATTTTCCCCAGACAGATTTTTGTTACTTAAAACCCAATTACCAAAAAGTGTCAATAGTTTGGGCCAGTGTGTAAATGTGGTTGTAGCATATACACATTACCCATCATTAACATGTTTTAACTGTTGCCCCACTGAAAGCTTTCTTAACATACATAAATAGCGATTCTCATGATTTTTGTCTGGACCACAGCATGGGACTGAAGGGTGAAATGGCAACACTGGCTGCAAACCTAATTCTGCAATTATTCATTTTAAAATGTTCATGTTAGATGCCAATATGCATTTCCTAATGCTAAACAAGATGTGACTATATGTAAAGATCCACAGCTGCTCAGCTGCTCCTTTCACTGAAGGTTGACAGTGCCATCTTCTGTCTTCTAGATGTACAGCACTAGGGTATAGTATGCAAAATAACACATGGGGGAAGAAACAGGGTGTTTAAGTAGTATCCCAGTTTTAACTCAGGCATATAAACTGTCAATACATTCCCTTCCACATGTGATCTTGTAATAGCGTCCACACTGGCCATCGAGGTAGTTAACAGAATACAATCCCACTTGTAGAATTTATGAACACTATAAGGGAGGTGGTAGTGAACCTGTGACCCTAAAGATGTTGCTATCAGGACTCCCACCAGCCCTGATCCTTGGCCACACTGGCTAGGGCTGATGGGAACTGGAGTCCAATTGAACAGCTGAACCAGTTCCCCCTTCCTACAACAGAGCTTTAGATCAATCTAATGTTATTTCCAGGCTACTTAAGGAAAATATTTCTTTCTCACAGTAAAGACAACTGAAAGTTGAGAGATTAAAAGGTGGCGTACATTTTTATTTAGCAACAGCTGATTATAGTACAAACCATCACTTATTTGGCTGACTAAAGGACAATATGAGAGGCCTTTGTGTGTGAAAATCTTAAAACTGCTTCTGAACAAATCCCACTGAAATGAAAGGGCAATTTCCCTCCATTTCAATAGACTTGTGCTAAAGATACTGAGAGTATCTTTAGCACAAGAGACTTGCTTGTCCTTCCTTTGTCCTTCAACTTTCTGTATCTATTTTCACCTGGGTTCCTTCCCCAGGTCAAGCAATCATCATCTTTGTTCTGTTTATTATATGACTGGTAATAATGAAAGAAGAGAAAGGTAGCCACAACAAAATTAACAGTTAGTATGAGCAACTAAGAGATTCCTAAGAATTACAGAATCAGCTGACCATCTGCATAAATTGTGGTGTCGACACATGCATGCTATTTACAGGTTATACATACTCAATTCTTTAGAAGAATCGCTTTGCAGTGCAAACTGCATCACTGAGTGATTTGCATGAAGTCAAGGTCTTCCATATGCATGTATGTTCAGTGGTGACCTTTTTACCATTGATCCTTTGGGATCCACCTTTAAAACTCAGCATTCCGATCCTATGCGTGTTTACTCAGAAATAAGTCCTACAATGTTCAAGGGAACTCCTATTAAACATGCATAGCATTTGACTGCTTTGAAACTCCAAAGCAGATAGGTTTTAGAAGTGGGGAAATGTAGAATAGAAAAAGAAATTCTTGCTCACCACTGAAAAATGAATTGGTGGCACAGAAAAACAAGCAAGCCTGAAACAGTTGCTCAGACTCTTCACCGTCATGTGAAACCGAAGAAATACTGTCAATGGCAGCAGACATGCATATGCTATTAGCAGGATATCTCTAAACTTCCACTGCCATTGGAGGGGTGGGAATCCCAACTTAAGTTTTCCTTTGGAGGGGTGGGAAAACACACAACACACTTCCGTCATCTCCTGCAAGCAGTACAAATAATCTCTTCTCTTATTAGAAAAAAACAACAGGACCAGAACAAAACACATGAAACACAGGTTTTCATCCAAAATATATAGCTCATTAGAAAGGCAGGAAAAGGGCTTGGTAGCAGAGTACTCTCAGAACACAAATATGAATATCTTTGTAATTGTTTTAAGTTAAAATAGTGATAACTTAAAATTACAAGTTAAACATATTTGAAGTAGACTACTGTGAAGTAAATTACTGACACCATATAAAGGAATCTCATGAATTTACATATTCTGGCAATGTAATCAATATTAACTCCCAGGATTATTATTTTTTAATGGGAGGTAACATTCACCAATAATATGGTACTGTGCAATCCATTTCAACGATTACTCCCTATTAAAAATGCCTAGCTTGCTTAAGAACCAACTCCATCAAAACTGTTAGAAAGCAACCTACCGTGAAACACTACTGGACCAAACTGATTATGCAACTCTTTGGCTTGGATACAAAGGTATCTTGCACAAATGGAAATGGGACTTCTGCATGCACATTAGAAGCCCTGTCCATTTTTTTCCAATTCCTCTGTTCCACTGCATTTTGAGGGACCCTCAGTCCTCAGGAGTTGCTTTTGGCGGAATGTAGGGCAAGGAGCAAAGAAAGCCCCAATTTGCAAACCGAGTTCCACTTTGCCTCCAAACTTTTGTTAAATTGTTTTTCCAAGATCTATGAAACGGTCATTGTGTTGCACTTAATGATGTCTGTGAGAGTGGAACAGACTTTTGCTCACACAACAGGACTTCACATTCCCCTTCTCCTCGTTGTAGCCCCTCTAGCATCCTCAGTTTGCTCCAGAGGGTGAGATTTTGGAGGTATACTTGGGTAGGAAAGTAAAATCTTGCTCCATGAGCAGTATACAACACTCAGTGCTGCCCTTAGTTTCATTTAGAAGGCATCAGCCTAGTTCGCATACCAAATTAAACCATACTTTACACGTCGTTATTTCACCCATGAAATCACCCACCACTTCTGACTAAGCTACACCAACCATAAGTGGAAGCCAAGGTTTCTTCTTCGTTTACCACTCATGGTTTGGCAAGAATCAAATAACAAGCAGAGGGTCACATGTTCCAGCATGTCCAACCAAGGCTTGTTTCCTCCTCTGTGTGCCACAGACAGAAGCCAGGGAGAACTCATTTATGCAAAACCAGTTTATTTTAAACTACGGTTTAATGTTGCATGTGAACAAGGCTAAATAGTGTTTCTCGTGTATTTCTTATTTAAAGACAGACACCATGCAACTGATTAAAAGAGTAATACCATCCACTGAGATCCAAAAACTTACCAATGTGCTTAGTCCTATGAATGTTATGAAACAAGGCCCTTGTATAACAAAGACTATGTTAAAACAAAGTTCTTCGTAGCTGTTCGAGCTTATGAATGAGTCTTGATTTTTTTCCTAAACCCACTAAACTTTCTTGAAATGCTGTATGCTTCAAAAGAATTACTGGTGATTTGCGGGTTTATTCTCCAATGTCAGGTAACAGTCCAGAACCAGTTTCAGGGCACATTTGAAATAGACACAACGAAAACATTAGCAAAAGTTTGAAATTAGCTCCCTGCTCCTGCCCATCCACAGCTACAGAAATTTTAGTCAGACATCCAAATAGATCTGTATCTAGCAAGTAGATAAATCTTCAGTGACAACGACCGAGGCATTACATGGTCTCCAGAACAAGGTCTGTTTCAAGTCCACAAAATTACGGAGATCCCGCTTAAATGCCTTCTGGTGCTGCTTCAGATTCAGGATGCAAATTCTCGGGGAACTCCAGCTTCTCACATATGTTCTCCTTGACAGGTAAATACTGAGCAACTTCATTAGGATCCGTGAAAAGGGGTGGAGGAACATGCTTAAAACCAAAAGAGAAAGAATTATGCAGAGCCCAGCCAAAGAGAAAACCTATCTATAGAGACTTAAAAGGGGCACTGTTGAACTTAAATTAGAATTAGTTATTCATACTGTTTATATAACCTTTACACATGTTAACACTAACAAATTTCTGCTTCAAAGCGAGTCTCTCCCCCATAAATGGGCAGCTTGAGAAAAATGTCCAGGTAGTGAAAAAGTGCATTACCCTGGAGACTAAAGCTCAGTAAAAACAACTATTAATGAAAAAGGTCTTACTACACAAAATAATTTTTAAATTTAATTTCCCTGGTAATAAAACCTTGTAGATGCTCATGAAAGGTAGCATATGCCAGTGCCCTATCAAAAAGCAATTTGCATCAAGAAGTTACCAACACTGACAAGAGAAAGACGCTCATGCTTAAAATGTTAATACCTTTAAGCTTGATATTTTGCTTTCCCTCGAGGTGTATTCCCGTAACATGTAGTGTTTATCAGCCTAGTAAGAAAGAAAACAGCTGAAATGTAACTGCATAAAATAATGTAAGATTCTACAGACAGACATGTTGGAAGGACTGGTCATGGGGAAGAGGTTAATTCCCGTCATGGGCACAAATCACTCCTTGTATGAGATAAGCCAACAAGTGCAGTGTCAGCCAAACCAGTTGCTATGGCAACTGCCCAGTGCCAACTATATAGGTGCTCAAGGTATATCAGTTCATTTGTCAGTCAGTGAGTCTGTACTTGACTCAGAGTCTGTATTGCATCTTGTATTGCTGGAACAACAGAAATATTTTGTATTTGTATAGATCTGTATCTGCAAAGCCTACAAGCTGTATGTATATATCAACGTCCAAAACTGTATTACTGAAGCTTTATCTTCCATAGCAGTAAACTATTTTGGAGCTTAAGTTGCCTCTGTGTGGTGACTGGAACTGGGGGCACTACCACATCTCACATCAGATTCCCAGATTTACTTTCAATACATGTGAATACACAGAAATTAAATGTAAGTTGACAATGCAGATGGCTTGGATGTGAGAACATGCTTTTCCCATTACCATTTAGACTAAACTAAAATAGAAATCTGTTGCATCAGACCTTAAATTGCTATTGTTTTCAATGAAGATGAGTTTCTGACATCATCCAATCTACAAATCTGAACAAGGAATGTACCAATTGTGTTTTTCACCAACAATATCCTTGAAATAATGAATATTACCCAGGTTGTGTGGAATCTTAGCAAGACTAATTTGAAATTATACCTAAGCAATCTTTCCATATCATTTGTGAGTGACAGAATTATTTTGTCTAGCTTAACAGATACTGTTCCATTGCATGAATGAAACTTGACAGTTGAACTTGACATCTAGACTTGACAAATGTTAATTTGTATATTAATTTGCATTTATTGCAATGTGTATTTTTGTTTATTCATTTTGAATTTTTGTTTACTGAATCGTCTTTTAAGGTTGTCAACTGCCTTAGGATGGGTATGGAAAGCAGTATGTGTTTAAAAATGAACCTGAATAGTTTAGTTTAAAGGCATTTCTTCTACAAGAGTCCATATCAGTACTTATGACTATGAATCCATGGGCACCTGCAGGATTTTTAGGGGGGGAGGAAGAACACTGAAGGCGGAGAGAGCAAGCTAGTTCCCCCCCCAAAAAAAACACGGGACTGAACATTTTGCTTCATATCACAAGATTTACAAATGCTAGGAACTTACTCTTTTTAAAAAAAGAAAGCTAGGAAACCAGAGATTATGTTTACTCCAGGGCAACTGCCCCCCCCCAATGCCCTTGCATAAATCTACTAAGGGTGCACAGTTCTAAGGGGACAAAAATCATGTGCAGAGAAGTCTGTACTTAGTCTTCTTAAGACTCCAGGAACCTACTCAAACTAGATTGACAATTCCTAAGAAACAGGAAGCCATCTTCCTGCACCTATCATGATATCGCTAAAGAGCGCTCTCTCTATATATATATATTTATATCTTTTGTAATGGCTTTGGCTAGACAATATAAATAATAATAACAAACATACAAATCACAGCATATGGCGTTTCATTTCTAAATATTAACCATTTTATGGTCTTCAGAACAAAATAAGCATATTAGGATTTCCTTACCTCATGATAAAGCCTTGTATCATTCATTCTGATAAGCACACCATCAACTCGCAGGAAAAACCTCAAGAGCACAAAGAAGCTTGAAGGCATTACCCTCTGTGAAAAACAGGAAAAATAATTTGCACTTGCACACATCTACAATATTTTGCTCTTAAAAGGTAAAGGTACCCCTGACCGTTAGGTCCAGTCGCAGACGACTCTGGGGTTGCGGCACTCATCTCGCCGGTCGAGAGAGCCGGCGTTTGTCCTAATAAAAACTTCATTGTGTAGCTCTTTTTCCACCGTTCAACTAAAATACTTTCTTGTGGATATTTATCCTCTAAAATGGTAAATATTATGCAAGAGTAAAGCTTAACTAAAATGTCTGACCTGTACTCAGTTTTAAACAAAGTCTTACAAAAAAACAACAACATGCATACCAATCACAACTTTAGTGTTACAAAATATACATTGTTACAAAGTAATTATTATCAGAAACTCAGATTTAAAGCAAAAGTTGGGGTGGAAACTGCATCCAGCCTATCATTACTGGTTATTTTTTATTATATTGCTTAATGTCAAAATAAGCTTTTAAGCAATTTACAATATAACACAGAGAAAGAAATGTAAGTTTGGGCACTACACCTTTTCGTTTTTTCCTTCAGTCAAACTCTAAAGACATTTCCTACTGTAAGATATAACATGTACAAAGTGACCGAACTCACTATTTTTACACTCAGGCTTGAAACTCCATGATCATGAAGTTCATCTTCAAACAGAAGTATTTCCTCAAAGAACATAATCTGTTCCCTGGCTTTTAGTTTCTCTGTATCTATATGTTCTGTTGTGGGAGAAACCTGGAAGAGGCAAAATAATTTAAAAGTTATGGGTTTTTTAAAAAATGCTCGTCAGACATTGTTTAACTGCTTAGTACTACAAAGTTTGCAGCCGTTAAGAGCAGATTTAAGAACGTACCTTTAACCTTAATGTATCACCTAGAAGAGTTCCTTTGTAATCTGTTGTATAGGTCCAGTCATATGGTTTAACAACTTCTTTTGTGTGCTCAGGCTCAGACCTTAAGGAAAAAGATACACAACTATGTAGAATGTCAGATTCAGAACCAAAGGATCTTTACAGATAGACCCAGTTTTTTATAGAGGCTATGGAAATGTCGCCTGTATATTTGCAAATTCCTAGAGATGCTGAAGATTGACATAACATTATTAGCTGTACAATATCAGTTTTGTTTATTCTAGATCAGAAATCATATAATTTTTTTTGCTCAGGTTTTTGCTCAAAGTTGTTGGCTAGCACATCTGTATTAGCAAGCAGAAATGTCAGAAAACTATTTCATCATAACTAAAGTTGTGGACACAAGAAGTAATAAGCATATGAGACACTGTTAGTGGGTGGTTCCCTTACATCACGATCTCAAAAACCGTGACTCGAGGGAAAGAGAAAATGTATAATAATATGTTATTTATGTTAAGGGAGAAAGTGACAAGCATTAAGCATTTATCCAGGTTACATCTCAAGTGGGTGACATAAAAAGTAAAAATCTAAGATATTGCTCCAAAGTAGCTGAACGTATTAATTTGTCATATTAGATTAGATTAATCTTATATCTTATTACCTGCTTTCTTGCCACTCCTCTGCACAGGCAACTTTAACCATGCCTTGAGTGCTATTTACACATCTTAAGGCATCAGTTGCATTGAACTCTATTCCAAAGAGAGATTCATGTTGAATTCTTAAGACATTGTCTCCAAACATCATTTCTGGAACACAAGGAATGTGTAGTTCTTCAGCTAATCTGCATGGAAACAAAAAAGGTATGTCACTTTGGAATTATTTCACACTAACCACATAATTTAAAACAGAGACATAATTTGTTCTGAAGAATATTACAATATGCCACATCTAATTCCAAATATAGTAACACTGAATCAGCTGTGCTTATTTAAGATGAAATTAGCTCTGGAGAGTCTAAGCTTCCCCAAACATGTATGTTCCTTTCATTTTTGGTCTGTCTCATAAGTCCCCAGCTAGACCGCAAGAGGTTAATTCACTGGAGGTCGCAATTTACCACAATACCTTCACAGCACATGGGCACCACAAATACACTTGTCAGAACAACGTTAGCATTTAACAAGAGGATTTGCCACAAACGTAGCAGCACGTGAAGCAGCCCATAGAAAGCAAGAAAGTAAACTACAAACATATCACTTACAAATAACTGGTGAGGTGTATATGATCTGATTGATCAGAGGACTTAGTCGTCTGGCAGAAACCTTACACAGTGGTACCTCGGGTTAAGTACTTAATTCATTCCGGAGGTCCGTTCTTAACCTGAAACTGTTCTTAACCTGAAGCACCACTTTAGCTAATGGGGCCTCCTGCTGCTGCTGCGCCGCCGGAGCATGATTTCTGTTCTCACCCCAAAGCAAAGTTCTTAACCTGAAGCACTATTTCTGGGTTAGCGGAGTCTGTAACCTGAAGCGTATGTAACCCGAGGTACCACTTGTAACTTGATCACTTAAAACAGCATGCCGGTTCAGAAACCTTAAAAGCATCCCCCCCCTCCTGTAATGCATTTGCTTTCTGCACACTTGGGCTCAGGTGGGATTTTTAGGAAAATGGAAAAGGCTGTCGGTCGGGGGGGGGGGTCACTTTACGTTTCAGCCGCCCAGGGAGATTTCCGGGCTTGTTTTCATTGAAATCCCATCAATAAAAGCCGCCGGCCATCCGAATTGGCCCGCTGCAACCTGAAGGGCTCGGCCGACCCAGAAGCGAAGGCTCTGGCGACAGTGTTCCCTAGGATCCCCGCCCCCCGCCTCGCACCTCTCGGCCTCCGACGACTTGATGATGTGGGTCCGAGCGGCCGTCAGCTTCCACGGCCCGAAAGTGAAGTCTCTCCGGCTGCTCTTGAATACGGGCATCATGTTGGCGGCGATGGAAGTAGCATAGAGAGGGAGAAGCGGGAGAGGGAGCGACTTCCGGACACCCTTCCAGGAGGAAAGCCCCGAAAAGGAGCCGTCGGAGGAATTAGTAGCGGGGTCTATTGTTGCTTTTTTTCTCCCCTCCCCCAAACAGCCGCCACCGGAAACAGAAAGAACCCTGTTTCCGCTTCCGGGTTCATCACATGTGCTTTGCAAAGGGGCTGCAGTCTTTCGCTAGTAACATTTCCGGTTCTTGGTTGAAGTCGGTGCCGTCTCCCATGTGCGGGGCAAATGCATGTGAATCAGTGGGGAAACTCAAGCAAGGAGGCCCTTTGTCAACGAGGCGCTTGAAATAGTTGCGCCCCCTTTCCCCCAAATCCCATGCAAAGGGCAAAAGAGACTAAACAAGGATGAGAGGCTCGTTTGTTTTCTTCGCAGGGGTTACACCGGGTTGGTGGGTGCGGAGTTTCTGCCCTCTCCAAAGCCTCAGAGAAAGCAGAAATTAAACAGAAAGTGACATGCTTAAAGTGATGACCGTTCATTTTCTACCTGCTGTGTAGTTTTGAAATATCCCGGGAGTGTATGTAACCCATAGGTGCAATGTTTTCGACAGAATCGTTGTGTCTACCCAAAAGATGCACAGGGTTTTGTTTTGTTTTTTTAAAAAAGTGGTAGACAGGCTCCCATGCCTTTAAAGGCTGTGTTGCAGGCACAACTTCAATTGGTGCAGTCTTCCCTTTATGGAGACATGGGGGTTGCATCTGTTGAATATCTGCTTTTTATGCAGCCCTGTAGCCACAGGAGGACCTGACTCCCTGGAGGAAATTCAAACGCACCTTGTCTGAATTTTTAGTTTTCATTTAACAACAAACCTCTAGCTCTTGCAAGATATAAACGCAGTCAGAATGATACCCAACTGAGCACTAAGAACTAAATTTGCTCTCACTATTTAGTAGTCTGGCCAATGAATGCACTAGGTCCTTATTTTTACGTTGTATAAATCATGTTGTTGTTGGCATCTGTCGGTCTCAGGAGACAGTGGAAGAGTGCACCTTAGCTGGTAAAGTCAAAACAGTTGCAGAGTCACAGTGCCTCCTGTGGCTGTAGAGACTGATACAGGAGAGATATGTTTTGTTGCAAGTGGGGTAGATGAAGGCTTCTGGTTATGCTACTATAGGCGCACCATTGTGTTGCTTCTCTTTGTGCTCCTCCCAGTAGTTACTCTCCCTCTAGTTCAGCCTTTCTCAACCTGTGGGCCCCCAGATGTTGTTGGACTACAACTCCCATCCCATACAACCCCTAGCTAGCAAAGCCAGAGCTCAGGGATGCTGGGAGTTGTAGTCCAACAACATCTGGGGACCCACAAGTTGAGAACCGCTGCCACTGCTGTAGATACACAACCTGTCTTTCTCTAGGCACTGTGGTTGTCTGCAGGGGATTCACACAGGGCATGGTTAATGTTGCCACCCTTCATGTCACATTTGCAGACGTAACAGAGTTGATCTGCTAACCGGCCTAGTGCCTGAAGCCAGCTCCCTGTGGAGCACGTCCTTGGGGATCCTGCCATCTTCCATTCTGCGGATGTGACCAAGCCAGCATAGACGTCACTGAGAGGACAAGCTTATTGGCAAGGCAACTATGGCATTGGTTCGCCTCTCCAAAAGGCTGTGGAAGAATGTGATGCTAACAACCAAGATCAAGGTCAACCAGGCTTGCCTTGTTAACCATGCTGCTTTATGGAAGTGAGTTGTGGACGACTTATAAATCAGTGTTTAATGACTTGGTATATGGCAATTTCTTATGTTCCTCTGGGGATGGGGGGAGGCAGCAGCTTCTTCTCTTCCTTCTTCCATTTTCACTTCAGCACACTGGACTTCCCTTCCCCTGAGAACAAGGAGCAGCAACTGTTGTCCAGGCTAAGGGATGGCCAGTTGAAGGTGGCCTGCCCAGGGTGTGGCAAAATCCTTCAGTGGACACTCCACCCTCATATTCCATATCCCTCTGTTCCATAAGAGTTCTGTGTCAAACATTCATCAAAAATCTGTTATCTTCTCATTTTCTGGCCAAGCACATACTTTACCTTTGTTCCTTCAACTGCCCAATTAACAGTTTCTATTTACTCTCTAAATCATTTAATCTAAATAGGGAATAAAGTGGTGCTTTAAATTCTGCCAGTTGGATAGAGCTATGTGGGTAGAGAAGAGCAAGGAAAGACACCGAATAAACAAAACGCTTACTTCATCATAATTCTTCATTTATTAACAAAACCAATCAAATGTTACATACACGAAATGCTTGCTTTTAACTTTTCTGTGTCTTCGAACACTTGCCAGCAGCTTAAGTGCATTTAGGAAACACCCACCCACAGAGTTTTCTGTTCCAACACCCAGTGATATAGCAAGCTCACCCAGTGAGCAAAAGGATTTTTCTTTTGGCTAGAACGCATGTTTATCTTACTCTTCCACATTTCAGAGATGAAATTAGGCCAGCTCTTGAGTGTTCGCAGTAGCCTTATTCTTACAGCCAGGACTGGCTGAGTCCAGATACATATTTATAGATATTACACAGGACTCTTCTCCATTTACTGTACATCATAAGTTTTCTTTTTTCAAACAATTTAAGAATGTTTAATCTCACAAATAATATGGTTCTTCTTATTGGAGAATAGCTGAAACTCATTTTTACATGTTGCTGTTACTCAGCTATACAAAAGTAACCCATATGTACTCAGAAGCTGCCAGATCCAGTTGTCTTCCAACAGCTCACAAGCCTAGCTGCTAATCCATGCTATACACAACCCCAAAGAAGTGTGTAGAATTTGTAACTCAACTGTACGACAACTATAAAATCTTCCTCCAAAGGAGTTCAGGGTGATATACACAGTTCTTACTGCCTTTTCATCCTTAAAACTTTGTGCAACAGGAGACACTCATCTATCTATTACTAGTGGTGGCAAGAATGTCAATGGCCAGCAAATGGAAAACTTGTTCATCTCTCTCCATTGATTATTGGTTTGGTATAGTCCGGGATATAGCTCTCTCTGAGCATCTTACATATCAAAGAAAAGTACCATATTTTTCGCTCTATAACACGCACCCGACCATAACATGCACATAGTTTTTAGAGGAGGAAAATCCGTAGGCATGCCACCCGTGGGCATTCCCTCCATAACACGCACAGACATTTCCCCTTACTTTCTAGGAGGAAAAAAGTGAGTGTTATGGCGCAAAAAATACGGTAACTAGGGGAGAATCTAAATCAGATCATTTTTATGCTATTTGGTCATTTTTTATATATATACATCAATACAACAGAGATGGAACATAGATAATGGTCCAATTAAGTTTGTAGAGAGACTATGTTCTAGAAGAATAGGATTAAGTGATTTCTCAATCCCTTGTATTGTGATTATAAAAGATGCATCGCATGGATTAATGTAGGGAATTGTTTTACCTTTCTCTTATCCATTGCAGTTTTCCTTATTCTCCCCTTGCTGATATAGAACTTTGATGTTGTTTTTATTTTGTCTTTATTTTAAAAATTAATCAAGTTTCTCTCTCTAAAAAGCTTTGTGAAATAGGTAAAGGAAGAGATCTTGCCCAGTGAGCTTCATGCCCGAGCTGAGCTTTGCTTCCAGATCTTCCCAATCCTAGCCAGACACATCCATACCAGACATTTAAAGCATATTTACACCGCTGTCATGGCTTCCCGTAAAGTATCCTGGGAACTGTAGTTTGTTAATGGCACTGGGAATTGGGAATTACAGTTTCCAGGATTCTTTGGAGGAAGTCAGTGTTGCCACTACTCCACACTGGCTCTCAGCTTAATTCATTTTGGATCAGTCAGATGAATTTAGCCCAGGCGTGGGCACCTTGAATCCCTCAGGAGTCATCTTCCAGGGCTGCATTCCAGAGGTGGGCAGGCCTGGAACCAAAACTGGGTGGAACAACTTCTTTTCTTCCACCGGCTTCTCCTTTCCTCTCTTTGCCACCAACATTCTGAAATTACTCCAAGGGCTGCATGAAATTAAGCAGAGGGCCGCAGGTTCCTTAACTCTGCTTTAGTTTGATGGAATAGGATGCAAACTGTTGGAAAACCTGCTGAATTCTGTAACTTAATTGAAGGTGCTTTGTGTCATTGAAGGAAAGCCCTTTTTGCAAAGTTAGTGCTGTTCTGATCTTGCCCTAAAATACTGTGGATTCCATCCCTTTCCCACAAATACTCCTTTCTCTTCTTATCTCTCTCCGTGTTGAGTTTTGAGTCTGGTGCACAGCAAAATGGAGGGGAGAGAGAGAAAGTTTATGGAGTGTGAAAGACAGGAATCCTGAGGGTGGAGGGGAGAACAGCTATATAACATAAACTGTTTAATACTGGCGGTGAACCAAAGTACTGCTTAGGAACATCTCCCAGCTGCTGGTTTTCGAGTAAACCGACTGGTCTCTAAAAGGGAAGGCAGCCCTTTTTGCCCAGGGCGAGCCTCGGCGTCGTTTCCTCACGTTGCACGACTCGCAGGCAAGCGCGGAGCCGCGGCTCTCTTTCCCCTCGCGAGCGCGAAAGATCAAGAGGCGATACGAAAAGAGGGGCAGCAAACTGGGGAAGGACAAAGGAGGGGAGGAGCGGGTGGGGGAATGGGAGGAGCGAAACGGGGACTGGCGGGATGGGGAAGAGTAGCTGGGAGGATGGACGGGGAGGAAAGGGGGTCGGGCGCATTTTCTGGGAGTCTGGCGGCGGCGGCTGTGGGGGGTCCTGGGCGCGGTAACCTGACTCCGCTGGCCCTGGACGGTCCAGCAGGAGGAGATCGGCCGGGTCTGACGGTGAGTGGGTCTCTCTTCCCCGCGCCCCAGCCCGGGATGAAGGGAAGGTGCGCGCAAGGGCGAGAGCGCGCGCGCAATGGAGGGGCCATTGTGTACGAGAGGAGGTCCCGGCTGGCCGCCTCTTCGGAGGGGGACCCTCCGGCCCCCGGGCGGGCTCTGGGCGGCCCCCGAACTGGCGGGGCCTCCGCGGCTGCGGAACAGAACCGGCTTTGTCTCTCCCCGCGGCTGGCAAGGCGGACGAGGGAGGCGCGCGGAGAGCCCCGCCGCTGCCACGGCCCCTTCCACGCCTCCACGGGTGGCAGCTCCAGAGGAAAAGGGCTGGGCTCCGAAGACGCTTGCACGGAGGGAAAGGAAAAAGCCCGG